ATGCACCCTCCCTACGCCTCAGCCCGACATCCCGACGCCCCACACCCCACACCCTCAGCCGACGCCCCCACACCCCACGCCCTCAGCCCGACATCCCGACGCACCCACACCCCAACGCCCTCAGCCTCCCGACGCCCCCACCCCCACACCCCAGCCCGACGCCGCCGACGCCCACACCCCACACCCTCAGCCCGACGCCTCCACACCCCACACCCTCAGCCCGACATCCCGACGCCCCCACACCCTCAGCCTCAGCCCGACGCCCCCACACCCCCACACACTCAGTCCGACGCCCCCACACCCCACCACTCAGTCCGACGCCCCACACCCCACACCCTCAGCCCGACGCCCCCACACCCTCAGCCCGACGCCCCACACCCCACCCTCATCCTGACGCCCCCACACCCCCTAGAAAGGTACAGTATTTCCAATTTAGTGATGAGCGATATATGCTGTTCCCTGTACATCGAGGATGGGGTTGCCATGTTGGGTTAACCGGTGTGAGGATATTTATAAATTATAATTCAGTGTCGACGTGCACCCAAAAAAAAAAAAAAAAAGGGAATAGATTAATCGAGGGCGTGATATGAGATTCGTTTTTATATCATTTGCTATCTAATGATTTTTAATCTGTTTACTTTGCTAATTATTTGCTTTGTATAAGAGAAATGTATAGATAACAATCACTGTGAAAAAAAATGATGTACCTTTTGGTCCAATAAGTTGTATTCTGAAACAAAAAAGAATATATCTATTTTTCAGTATTATTGAAATATCCATTTTGCGTGTGTGTGAGTATTTGAGATTTTCAAATAGAGCCTTTCTCCACACGATTTATTAACTTTTGATGAATTAATATGCAGACTTAAAAGCAGAACTGATTTTTTTTTCTCTCTCTTTTTTTTTTTTCTTTCTCTCTCTCAATTAAATTTGATATGAGGTTTTTATGGGATGATGTGAATGCGTATCGCCGTTCTGATGAGTGAACTTACCCCCCCCCCCCGACCCACCCCCGCCTGGAATTAATGAAACGTACTAAGACAGAATGTGAATAAAATTTCTCCCGGGTTATATATATTCGTGAGAGTAACCTTTAACGTGGGACTGGAAGATTGATTTATCCATAATGCCACGGGACGAATAGCTGATCAATTGATAAAGCTGAGCAGTACTTGCAGGGACTGAAAAAAAAGTCATTTATACATATCCTTTCATACACAGGGCCGTATCATCCATGTTGTTGCAATTAATTTGGTTATTGAGTCTTATTCTTATCATTCTCGTAATAAGGGTTATCAATCATTTATTTTGGATAATCTTTGAGTGAAATGCAAAGAGCAAAAGGACGTGATTTTCTCTCAGATAAAATTCAAATATTTGTCTTGTATCTTTAACATTCTTTTATTTCGCTTGTTTGTCTGTGTTATCTTAATGCTTCTACAAAAGATTTAGCAAGAATGTGAAATTATATCTGTAAGTGTCATTAAAGATTAAGATTTAGTCCAAAATTCCAATATTCTCCGAGTAATCTTCAAGATGCTATTAACCTTTTGCACACCATTATTAATCATTATAAATTGCACGAATTCTATAATTTTCATATTTCAACAAGAAATACATCATCTATGAGCTTTATCTTTTATGAAGTTTTTCCAACTTTAAGAATCAATATATAATGATTCTTAAAGAGCGTGTCCGTGTGCGTGTCCGTGTGTGTGTGTGTGTGTGTGTGTGTGTGTGTGTGTGTATATATATACATATATATATATATATATATATATATATATATATATATATACATATATATATATATATATATATATATATATATATATAATATATATATATATAATATATATATATATATATATATATATATATATATATATATATATATATATATATATATATATATATATATATATATATATATATATATATATATATATATATATATATATATATATATATATATATATATATATATATATATATATCCATACACACAAGTGTATGCGTAATCATGCGTGTATGTGCAAGTGTGTGCGCGCGTGTGCTTCCCTTGCCCTTACCTGCTCGAGAGCGACCGAATCGGAGGGCGTCTACGAACCGCCTCGTCCAGAGCGCGAGCCTGGACCTATCTCGCCGCGGCCCGTTGTCATGGCAACCAGCAGGACGCTCCTGTTAAAAATGTTAAGAGTTATGTACCAAGACGTTTTCCCATCAGACGAGGAGCAGTTTCTTAGACAAATGGGGAATCTCAAGCCGTGAGTGATTCTCATCCTCGCCTTCCTCTCCTTCCCCTTCCTTCTCTCCCTTTCCCTCTTCGCCGCCCTGCGTTCCTCTGTATCCTTTCCCACTCCCTTCCTTTATTTTTGTCTTTCTTCTTCATCTTTTCCCTTCCCCTTTTTCCGTCTTCCTCCTCTGTCTTTTCTTTCCCTTTCTCCTTTACCACCTTCCTTCTCCTCCTCTTGAATCCATCTCCTTATTCCTTCCTTCTTTCTCCTCTTCCTTTCCTCATTCTCCCCCGCTCGTTTTTTCATCCTTTCTTCCATTGCCCTTGTTTTTTTTTCTTCTTTCTTCATTGCCCCTTCCCCTTTCTTCCTTCTTCCTTTCTCCACTTCCCATCCCCACCACCTTCTCCACTCCACTCCTCCTTTCCCCATTACCCTCTCCTCCCCACCCATTACTCCTCCCCTCCACTTCCCTTTCTCCTTCCACCATCCCTCGTTCGTGATTGGTTACTGCGAAAGTCGGCGATTATAGGGAAGTGGATGTATTATAGCGATATATTTTGCTCGTCCCATTGTCTATCAGCGAGAGTACGAGCGTCCAGAGCTTTGTTACGGAGGGACGTGATTCTGTGAATGAGTGCCTAAGGAGTAGCGTCGATTCAAAGTACTTCTAGTACGTATCTGTCTGTATGTGTCTGCCTCTGTCTGTATCTCTTTTTCGCTTTCTCTGTCTGCTTATTTCCTTTCTGTCTTTATGTGTTTCTTTTTCCTCTGTCGTTTTCTCATACAGACATAGAGAGGGGGGGGTGAGTGTGTGTGTGTAAGAGAGAGAGAGAGAGAGAGAGAGAGAGAGAGAGAGAGAGAGAGAGAGAGAGAGAGAGAGAGAGAGAGAGAGAGAGAGAGAGAGAGAGAGAGAAGAAGAGAGTCTTTGTCTGTTTCTTTTTCTCATACAGACAGACAGAGAGAGAGAGAGAGAGACAGACAGACAGACAGACAGACAGACAGACAGACAGAGAGAGAGAATCCCTGTATACTGGGGCCCGAGAGAGAGAGAGAGAGAGAGAGAGAGAGAGAGAGAGAGAGAGAGAGAGAGAGAGAGAGAGAGAGAGAGAGAGAGAGAGAGAGAGACAGAGAGAGAGAGAGAGAATCCCTGTATACTGGGGCCCGAGAGAGAGAGAGAGAGAGAGAGAGAGAGAGAGAGAGAGAGAGAGAGGAGAGAGAGAGAGAGAGAGAGAGAGAGAGAGAGAGAGCCCATGTTTATATGTGGGGAAGGGGGATATGTGTGGTTGAGTGCGCGGGCCGTGAAACTCCTCCTTTAACGCGAAACACCGGTTCCCGACGTAAGAGTCCTCAGCCTAGATTAACCAGCAAAGAAACAATCCTTATACTACACGCAGGCGATCGGCTCTGAGTCTTGGGCTGAAAGGGAAACCCGAAGGACATTCCACTGCGGACCCAGAGATGGGGACTTCCTGGGGCCGATGATACTTCGTGTCGCATATCCAAGGAGGCCCTTGAGGACACATTAGACCTGTGATCCTCATATCAGAAGACCTGGATATAAATCAGACCTGAATTCTCGCCGACGTGATATTTTTTGATGATGAAGCTTCAGGAAAACAACGAGGACTAGAGGCCTGTCAGGTATTAAGGAGATTACTGGCTTCCATCAAGTTATCAAGAAGGCATCGGTGTATTCAGTCGCTCTAATCTCCATGATAGTGTAATTACTTTTATAATGGACGAGGTTGATGGAGGCCTCTCCTTTTCTCTTTTACATTGCCTTTAGGTCAGCCTTTGGAAGTTAATGCAGAATCATTGGGAAACTTATTCCGTAATTTTCTTCTTCCTGGAACGAAAATGAGGCGTGTGGAGTTTTCAACAACGCTGCTTTACATGCATATATCTATCGACTTATATATGGCCATATTATAGATAGGCTGATGAATTGAGGAATAGATCATAGATAGATAGATAAAAACGTCATTAGCAGAATAGATAGATGTAATACAATTATATGCGTGTTATGTGCTTATCAGCGCACTGCGCATTACTATTGAGATTGAGACGACGACAGCTACTGACGATACACAGTGCCCCCCCCCCCCACCCCCCCCAGCCCTGAGAGACCGCCCCGCTCCCCGGCCCAGAAATCGGGCCGCGATCGACGGAGGCCTAACGCCACGACCTGGAAAAGGGTCTTGGCGTGTGTATCGCGTCCTTCGCCGGATGAAAAGGCTCTCTGGACGCTCCATTGCATATGTAAGTTGTTTCTCGCGCGCCGCATACCGAGGGGGAGGCACGTATGGCTCGAGGAGGAGGTTTCAGTGTGATTGTATTGAAACCGCGGCTCGGTGATACACATGTAAATACGATTATTCTGGTGCACACTTCCCCTACGCAGACGTAATAAGGCAGCACCGTTACAGAAAATAATATAATGGCAAGACAATATCATTAACTTGACATCAGCTTATCATAATGTGCCTGAAATGCTTTTCTAGAAACGATCAGTTCTATCATAGCTTATCGTCAACAAATTAAAACCGAGACTCAGTGAAGTCCATTTGGAGTTCCTGAAAATATATCGAGTTTATTGATCTTTAGAATGTAACTGAAGGCGACTGCATATTGTTAGGTGATTGGCTTGTTGCACAATCGTTGGCAAACAGTTGGCTCTTAAGTTCCTGAGGGCAATCTGGTACAATGCTAAAACTTTTTTTCCAACTGTTACACTGGAGAAATTCAGAGAAAAGGATTGTATACTAATTTTTATTTGATTTATTTGTTATCTATTTTTGACGATTGAGGAGCACATTTTCTTTTGGAAGAACATGCGGGCAAGTTTGTTTCTCTGTCTTTAGCATCTGTAGTCTGCTCTGCTCCGTGTGTAGTCTGTCTGTTCATCTGTATGTCTAGAATGGGTCTAGACCGTTCTACCACTGGTTTGCTATACTAACTACGATATCTTCTTTATAATAATAGCGACTTTGGAAATGTGTGTGTAAGAGTACTGAGGTAAGTAGAGCTTCTTCAGAAGTTTCCATCTTTCTCTTGTTTGTTTTGAAAGATGTCGCTGGTCATTTGCAAACAGATTAGCGTGCAAGTTCTGTTTCTATTACAAGGTACTTGTCGACATGCAACACACACACACATACAAACTCTCTCTCTCTCTCTCTCTCTCTCTCTCTCTCTCTCTCTCTCTCTCTCTCTCTCTCTCTCTCTCTCTCTCTCTCTCTCTCTCTCTCTCTCTCTCTCTCT